ATCAACTCTGGTCTTTTGCTTTGCCTTTGGTACATGAGAAACGAATACTGTAGAAGTTGTTGATATAAGATTTTGCGTTGGTATATTCCGTACAAACCGCAAACGTCATTACCGTCAACCTCAAAACTGGTGAGCCCAACCGCGAACTTCATCTCCGATAAATACGTAGATAACCCCGGTGAGTTCGTTCCATTTTGTATTTGTTCTTGTGCTATATTGTAATCGGCATACACTTCGTCATGAGTGATCTTAGTACCAAGGTCATTCGTATTCATTCATTTGACAAAACCGTTCAGGGCTTACCATATTGGCCAAATAATACGGAAACGTGGTTTCAGATAGCTGAGTCTGATTTTTGTGAGCATTGGATAACCGATCAACGTTCACAGTTCCTTGCAGTTATTCACACCCTGCCGCGGGAATCCAGCAAGTGCATAACTGTGCAGATGTTGAGACCCGAGGTAAGTAACTCGTACGAGTTGCTTAAAGCATCCCTCCTCAGGAGAAACGTTCTCACAGATTGACAACGTCTGGACGAATTATTTCGTAACATCGAGTTGGGGGATCAGTCAGCCGTGAGCATGCTGACAAGAATGAGAGAGGTTATTGGCCAAAGTCAGTTTGATGAAGGACTTTTCAGAGAACTCTTCTTATCCAAGCTGTCACAGTCCGTGCAGACTGTACTTGTGACAATTCAGGGTGTTATTTTAGACGAGTTAGCTGTTTCTTCAGATAAGATTCTAGAAGTAAGTAAACGGTCAGTTCCTGAAATACACGCGGTGGCCAAACGGACTTCGAGTAAGGATACTGCAGTGATACAGTTATGCAACTCAATCCAGCAGATGCTTAAGTCAAACATACATTGCAATCCCTCTTACCGTCATCCGAACTCTCCTCAACGGTGAAACTCACGTGGTCGATCTAAGTCCAAGCCACGTTCACTGAAAAACCCTGACTGGTGCTGGTATCACAACACCTATGGCAACGAAGCGAAATGTAGCCGTAAACCTTGTAACTTCGGAAATGTATCAAAGTCTGTGGGAAACTATCCCGCCGGTACGCGTTAGCGGCAACCGTCGCCGGTGGTACTAGCCGCCTAATTTACATCCATGATGTGATCAGCCAGACTCGATATTTAGTCGACACAGGCGCCGAAGTCAGCGTCCTTCCTTCTATAGCAGCAGATCGACAGAAGGAACCTACCTTCAACTTACAGGCTGCAAATGGAAAACCAGTCACAACACTTAGTAAGAAATACGTCCATCTGAACGTGGGTTTACGCAAACCTATTCACTGGATTTTCCTTCTCGCCGACGTCGCCATGCCCATCATTGGCACGGACCTACTTAATCATTATGATTTACTCGTAGACGTTCGCCGAAAACGACTGATTGACAATACTACTAGTCTGTCCATCAAAGGCATCGCCTACATAGGCCCCAGCTTGTCACCCGTTAAGATAAAGGCAATCATTGATCCAGCTTTTCAACCGATCGTTGATAAATATGAGCATTAATCAAGTCACAAACGATGAACACTGTGACAATATATTAAACTTCATGTACCACAGCATCACATGTTACATTTGAGGAACCGAAAGATTCACAACAACACACCTGATTTTAAGACTTCGCAGTGCTTCTTGGTCAATGGAGCTTCATTCTGCAAGGTAATTATCCGTTACTGCTGGAGTCTCACCGACCATGTACATGGTCCGGGCTTCGATCCTCTGATGACACACAACTGATTTGAATTGTCCGTATGCTAAATTTGGGCTACCGATATCACATGCTGAAAATTGCACAGTTGTGCCAAAATACTGTGTGGAATCAAGCTATGGTAAATAAAATAAATATATACACATATGTTAAGACAAGATTACTCCGTCATCTGTGGCTGCTCTGACTACCTCCTCTGGTATCCATAATGGAGTTACTACTCTGGTGCAGCAATATCCAGTTTCTGTGGATGATGATATGAACATGGCTTAGCTGACACCGCCGATCGCATTTGCAAACGAAGGTTTGAACAAGGACGGAATATAGTGGAGCAACCATAAACTGATCGGATAACAAGCCGAGCTTGCGGTGGCTGCAAATTGCTTGACAGATAGAAATCCATCTACACTAAACAAAGAGCTAGACTAAGGACATTAGTGACTACCCAGTTTCCAATAAAAGCATCCAACTCAATCATACTGAAGGCTCATCGCCAGCCCAGATAAGTCAATGGCAACGTCACTGACTGCGGCACTGGGTAAAACGGGTTCACATCCCATAGGCGACATGGGTTCCTTCAAGTTTGCAATGACGCCTTGCTAACGAATTCCATCAAGCACGAAACTTAAGTCCAGGGCTTTTACCGACTACCCCCAACCATAAATTTACAGTGGTTCAGAATGCAAATTACGTGATTTGTCATGCCTATTGTCCTTTTCAAAAGTATGCTTCGTGGGAAGTAACAAACCAAGAGGAATTAGCAGTAGTTAGGGTGGCGTCAATAAAACCAGGTCCATGAAATTGAGGAAGTGTCTTATCCCATATTAGTTCGTTTATTTGATATATCACACAGTGAAAGTGTTATCTACGGGATCCAGTGAATGATACTGTTTCACTGTGTGATGCATCTAATAAGCAAACTAATATGGAATTACTTACTAATACAGTGCCCACGTTTTTCACATATGTTGAAGCATTTCATCCATTTATTGCTGGCAGTGCTATAATATGTTGTATTTGGCTTACTGTTCCACTTAGACTCATTCTTGCCGCCCCTAATCTAACAAGTTCGTCCTAAAAATACGTTTAAACATTTAGTGTATTAGTCGACAGGTGAAGGTTTCTATGCGGTAAAAAAACTTTGCCCCGCGAGCTCAACGCTGATCTTAGCAACTTACGTAAAGAAAGTGTAACCAATCAATCAAGAATGATGACTTGATGTATAAAGCCCCAAATGCAACTACGTTGATAATGGAAACATTTAGGTACACAAAATTCAAGGATAAGAAATCCAACGGGGGCCCAGCGCTGACTGCTGATAACGACACAATCTAAGCGCTAGGAAAAGGCAAAGGCAATGGCAAAACTATTTTTACAGAGTCCCCACCCAATAGTCAAGACACTGCATACCATCTTCTCTGGCCGCATTAGAGAAATGCCAATTAAGTTTCCTTGACATTGGCCTCGACATCTGTCAATGGAGTTGAAGATTGAACGAGCAATTCTTGGTTGTTTGCTCAAATCAACTTCCCCAATTTTCGCGGAGGCATCAATACGACAGTCATCGTCTCATCGGTCGCTGTTCAGAAAGAAGAGTGAAACATCGTCAGAAGTAATACAGAGATTTATTATTGTAATATTTGTTTTCAGACCTTAGTTCGCTTATTCCTTTTATATGTTGGTGTAACAATAAACAAATCTAAAGCGGCAGATCAGTGTTTTGGTTTTTGCGTCCGTTATAACTAAGCGTTTCTGAGAAATCTTCGAAGAACAGCGTGGGCCCGAGCGTAGCGAGAGCTGGGCATTAACGGTTTATGAGACGTGATTGACAACATCGCATTTTAATCTCTGGGGAAACCAGAATCAGGTAGATCGACAGGCTCCGATGACCTTCACCCAAAGCTCCTCATGGAGGTTGCAGCTCACACAACCGGCCCACTGAATACTATCTTCAAACCCTCCTGAATAGAATGTTGCTCTGAGCCATAGTGCCACGCATCCACAAAGGAGGATCAGGACAGTGTGCTTCAGACTACAGGCCTATCAGTCTCACCAGCGAGTTAATCAAAATACTTGAAAGAATCATCAAGGAAGCTATCATGGTATATCTGGAGCACAGATCGTCATCCGAGGAGGCCTCTAATGCCTGTCAAATCTTACGCAAACAGAAATGCTGAGTCAAGCCAGGGGAAGGCAGAAGAGCCGTTGACGTTAAGTTCGTACACTTCAGCAAGGCCTTCTATAAAGTGCTTACGAACTAAGAAAGTCTTGGAATTCAGTGTGGCTTACTAAGCTGGATTAGGGAACTACTCATAGGTAGGAGAAAGACAGTCAATCTCAACTCAACTCTCCAGTACGTCATGGAGTGACACGAGCCACTATTCGAGCCCCTCTTATTCATTTTTTATATCAATGAGTTACGTATGCTCAATGATTCCCTCATGGACCTTTAATCAAATGACCTAAAATGTTTGCAGAGAGCCGAATTCCGACAGTCACATGCTTACATCGCAACGAAATCTCAACGAATTCTATGTATTTTCAACGAAATGAAATGCGAAACCACACGCAATGAGCACGCAAGCATCAGCTGATACAAACCAGATGCGATAACGATCCCATCATCTAAGACTTATATGGATCTAGATGTCATAATAAGTCCCGACTAAACAAACCATAGCACACTATCAATATCATGAGCGGGTATTGGCTACAAATCAGCCAATGGGAGTAACCCAGATGTACTTCCTCAACCAATGACAGTTAACTTTTGAGAACTGCGTTACAATGAATCTTAATTAGTGATTAATAATACATCATTTCAAATAATATACTCTTTTAATATAAACAATCAATTAAATATACTTTTACTATCTAAATACATCACCAAAGGCCCCTCTCTCAGAAATCTTTTACTGCACTGAAATCCTTCGAAGCGGGTGAATCCACAATTTGTATTTCCACTGCTGTGAGTTGTCTGCGTGCTTGTCAACCTTCTTTTTTACGAATTTTTCCAAGTAATTACTTGCACACTTATATGTTTTATATTGCAAATATAACAGTACTGGCCATTTTTATTGTTAGGCATAGCGTATAAGTTGTGTAGACCGCAGGAATCCGTTTTTTAACCGTTTTTCCGATTTCTTCCAGGTAACATGAGCTCCGTCAAGCATCACTAATACACTAAATGACAGCAGACCACCAGCTAGTGTCGAACCATAACTTTGAATAACAAAAATGATGACAGAAGAGAAAGACGGGGGGCGGAAAAGAACAAAACGGTTATGAAAAATATCTTTGAAAAGGCCTACGTCTATTGAATACCAATCGCAGCACACAATTTTCCTGCATCATTTGTACTAACGGTTTATTCGTTTGATCAAGTTTACATTCAAGTTGAGCAAATTTGTAAAGTAATCCATTATGAGACCAGTTTAATTCAGACGTCATAGATGGTAAGCGACTATCAAGATACTTACTTAACGCTTCAATTGGTATATGTGGTGAATGCGCAGTTTCTTCTAGTTTCTCTGTATTAACGGTACTAGGATGACGATTAGACGTATCTATCGGCATCGGCGGTATACTTTTCTTATCTTCTAATATTGGATCATACGGATGATTTGTAAGCGATTTCAATGATGATGATGCTGATGACTTCTGGTTTATGCTATCAGCAGTATCACTGTCTATCAGTAAACTTTGATCTAATAATGATCGATTTGAACTAATAATATTGGTGAGTGGTTTTGATTCTGGTTGATCGAATACATGAGGCATTACTGACCATCTTGTTAGTGATTTAGTCTGTTCTGTTTTTCCCGTTGTTTTTGTTGTATTGTATTAGTTAATTCGCTTAAAGGTTGACGAATTTGGCTATTACTACATGTTAGGTGAGTACTATTCATTGATGTACTGTAAGAATTTTTATTGGTTATTTGAGAAGTTGATAAATTGCATAATGTATTATTATTATTATTATTTAATAAAGCCTACGTCATTTAGATCAGCTCGTAAAGTGGATGAGAATGAAAGTAGACGAATAGAATGATTACCTGATCCAATAGAGATACAATGAATTGGTGTAGACATATTCTGTACATTATATAACCATACTTCACCATTTACTAAACCAGTTGCAAGAATATGCGTTCTTGAAGCGACATCAATACTTAGATAACCGTGTTGTTCATCCACTGGTGATAAACATGTGACAGGTTTTTGTTGTTGTTGTTGTTTCTGTTGACCTGATGTCGACAGTATATACCACACAGGCAAATTTAAATCTGGTAATCCTGCACTATACAATAATTGATCATCATTCGATGAAAATGCAATGCGTATACAACCTTCATAATAATCTTTGAATAACTTTGAATCATCAACTTTATATTTCATATCCTGTGGTGCATTGTTTGAAATGTGAACTCTAAGCTGTATTTTTCATAATTTTTACTTATCTTTGTTCTTTTGGCATTGGTTTTTTCCCTTTATTTATTTACTTTTTTGATTGTAAAAGTCTTATAAAATTTATGAGGTAATTAGATGCAATATATTGTAATGCATGCTGAAAATTCCATACCTGTACCACAAATACCGTTTGGAATAAAGCTGTTAATATTATTATTGTTATTAAACTGATTTCATTCATACTTGTAGCTAAAGATTTAACATCCCAATAATTTAAAATGTAATTGTTTGTATCACCAGTAACTGGCTATTGTATATTCCATAAGATTATAGAACCATTAGATTAACCACAGCATATGAGATGGCCATTAAATTTAGAAGTTTATAACATACAACATTTAGGTAGGGAAGTAACACAACCTTTGACCTGTGAATATTGACAAGGGAAAGGTAATACGATGTTTTCACATCGACCATTAGTACTAGTTTTATCCGAAGCTGCTAAGAATAATACAATAGAGCCATTATTATATCCAGCAGCAATAATACGATCATTTAACACCCAACTAATACACTTGGGTTGTAATTCATTAGGTAATATATTAAATGGATGTAGATTAGTATAGCGTAATTGACATCGTAGTGTTATTTGCTTATTTCCACAATTATAAACAATTATCAAACCAGTATTAATGCCAACAGCTAGATATCTGCCTGAACTTCTAGGGAAACCGATACACGTGGCTGTACAATTTTCAGATTGTAAACTCAACGTCAGTATATCAGAAGTTGTCTTTCCATAGTCATGATTTTTGCCAAACAATAATTGTTGAAGGTAAACAGATCCACCAGATTTATCAATAACAGCTAGCTTAAATGATCGAGGATTCCACTGGATTGATTGAATCGGACTGGTTGATATTGGTTGAGGTTATACCTCCTTGTACTGCCACTTACCCCATCTTATTCGTTTTATCAGCACAATCAAGAATCTACATGTCTGAGCGACAGTTTAACACAGACATTGGTTGATTTTTTGTGATGAAAGCAGCTTGGAAGTGAGTTAGAAATTAAAGCGATCTGTGCCTTATTTACTGTCTTATAAGCTGAAGATGACTGTTTTATAGCAAATCCTGAATAAAAGTGACTAATAGGATTAATTTCTAATACCGTAGAAACGCCTTAAGGTGCAACCTTAGAACATTTCTCAACTAATTCTAATTTTCAACATGAATGGCACTAATTTAGCCCCTGTTCATCTTCTGGGCATTTTCTGAAGTAGCTCGGAACCTGCTGTGTCTGCTTATCAGCCTTATTTCAGCATTCTTAGCCCAGATTCAGCGTCCAGGGCTTTTTTTAAGAACGACCAGGGTTATTTCATTACATGATGTGATCATTTCATGTAGATAAAATATTCATTCACTGTAAATTGGCATTATTGACGAGTAGGTTAGAATTAGTTGAGAATTGTTGTAAGGTTGCACCTTAAGGCGTTTCTACGGTATTAGAAATTAATCCTATTAGTCACTATTATTCAGGATTTGCTATAAAACAGTCATCTTCAGCTTATAAGACAGTAAATAAGGCACAGATCGCTTTAATTTCTAACTCACTTCCAAGCTGCTTTCATCACAAAAAATCAACCAATGTCTGTGTTAAACTGTCGCTCAGACATGTAGATTCTTGATTGTGCTGATAAAACGAATAAGATGGGGTAAGTGGCAGTACAAGGAGGTATAACCTCAACCAATATCAACCAGTCCGATTCAATCAATCCAGTGGAATCCTCGATCATTTAAGCTAGCTGTTATTGATAAATCTGGTGGATCTGTTTACCTTCAACAATTATTGTTTGGCAAAAATCATGACTATGGAAAGACAACTTCTGATATACTGACGTTGAGTTTACAATCTGAAAATTGTACAGCCACGTGTATCGGTTTCCCTAGAAGTTCAGGCAGATATCTAGCTGTTGGCATTAATACTGGTTTGATAAATGTTTATAATTGTGCAAATAACACTACGATGTCAATTACGCTATACTAATCTACATCCATTTAATATATTACCTAATGAATTACAACCCAAGTGTATTAGTTGGGTGTTAAATGATCGTATTATTGCTGCTGGATATAATAATGGCTCTATTGTATTATTCTTAGCAGCTTCGGATAAAACTAGTACTAATGGTCGATGTGAAAACATCGTATTACCTTTCCCTTGTCAATATTCACAGGTCAAAGGTTGTGTTACTTCCCTACCTAAATGTTGTATGTTATAAACTTCTAAATTTAATGGCCATCTCATATGCTGTGGTTAATCTAATGGTTCTATAATCTTATGGAATATACAATAGCCAGTTACTGGTGATACAAACAATTACATTTTAAATTATTGGGATGTTAAATCTTTAGCTACAAGTATGAACGAAATCAGTTTAATAACAATAATAATATTAACAGCTTTATTCCAAACGGTATTTGTGGTACAGGTATGGAATTTTCAGCATGCATTACAATATATTGCATCTAATTACCTCATAAATTTTATAAGACTTTTACAATCAAAAAAGTAAATAAATAAAGGGAAAAAACCAATGCCAAAAGAACAAAGATAAGTAAAAATTATGAAAAATACAGCTTAGAGTTTACATTTCAAACAATGCACCACAGGATATGAAATATAAAGTTGATGATTCAAAGTTATTCAAAGATTATTATGAAAGTTGTATACGCATTGCATTTTCATCGAATGATGATCAATTATTGTATAGTGCAGGATTACCAGATTTAAATTTGCGTGTATCGTATATATTACAACAAAAACCTGTCACATGTTTATCACCAGTGGATGAACAACACGAGAACAGGCGGCATTACTGACCATCTTGTTAGTGATTTAGACTGTTCTGTTTTTCCCGTTGTTTTTGTTGTATTGTATTAGTTAATTCGCTTAAAGGTTGACGAATTTGGCTATTACTACATGTTAGGTGAGTACTATTCATTGATGTACTGTAAGAATTTTTATTGGTTATTTGAGAAGTTGATAAATTGCATAATGTATTATTATTATTATTAATAAAGCCTACGTCATTTAGATCAGCTCGTAAAGTGGATGAGAATGAAAGTAGACGAATAGAATGATTACCTGATCCAATAGAGATACAATGAATTGGTGTAGACATATTCTGTACATTATATAACCATACTTCACCATTTACTAAACCAGTTGCAAGAATATGCGTTCTTGAAGCGACATCAATACTTAGATAACCGTGTTGTTCATCCACTGGTGATAAACATGTGACAGGTTTTTGTTGTTGTTGTTGTTTCTGTTGACCTGATGTCGACAGTATATACCACACAGGCAAATTTAAATCTGGTAATCCTGCACTATACAATAATTGATCATCATTCGATGAAAATGCAATGCGTATACAACCTTCATAATAATCTTTGAATAACTTTGAATCATCAACTTTATATTTCATATCCTGTGGTGCATTGTTTGAAATGTGAACTCTAAGCTGTATTTTTCATAATTTTTACTTATCTTTGTTCTTTTGGCATTGGTTTTTTCCCTTTATTTATTTACTTTTTTGATTGTAAAAGTCTTATAAAATTTATGAGGTAATTAGATGCAATATATTGTAATGCATGCTGAAAATTCCATACCTGTACCACAAATACCGTTTGGAATAAAGCTGTTAATATTATTATTGTTATTAAACTGATTTCATTCATACTTGTAGCTAAAGATTTAACATCCCAATAATTTAAAATGTAATTGTTTGTATCACCAGTAACTGGCTATTGTATATTCCATAAGATTATAGAACCATTAGATTAACCACAGCATATGAGATGGCCATTAAATTTAGAAGTTTATAACATACAACATTTAGGTAGGGAAGTAACACAACCTTTGACCTGTGAATATTGACAAGGGAAAGGTAATACGATGTTTTCACATCGACCATTAGTACTAGTTTTATCCGAAGCTGCTAAGAATAATACAATAGAGCCATTATTATATCCAGCAGCAATAATACGATCATTTAACACCCAACTAATACACTTGGGTTGTAATTCATTAGGTAATATATTAAATGGATGTAGATTAGTATAGCGTAATTGACATCGTAGTGTTATTTGCTTATTTCCACAATTATAAACAATTATCAAACCAGTATTAATGCCAACAGCTAGATATCTGCCTGAACTTCTAGGGAAACCGATACACGTGGCTGTACAATTTTCAGATTGTAAACTCAACGTCAGTATATCAGAAGTTGTCTTTCCATAGTCATGATTTTTGCCAAACAATAATTGTTGAAGGTAAACAGATCCACCAGATTTATCAATAACAGCTAGCTTAAATGATCGAGGATTCCACTGGATTGATTGAATCGGACTGGTTGATATTGGTTGAGGTTATACCTCCTTGTACTGCCACTTACCCCATCTTATTCGTTTTATCAGCACAATCAAGAATCTACATGTCTGAGCGACAGTTTAACACAGACATTGGTTGATTTTTTGTGATGAAAGCAGCTTGGAAGTGAGTTAGAAATTAAAGCGATCTGTGCCTTATTTACTGTCTTATAAGCTGAAGATGACTGTTTTATAGCAAATCCTGAATAAAAGTGACTAATAGGATTAATTTCTAATACCGTAGAAACGCCTTAAGGTGCAACCTTAGAACATTTCTCAACTAATTCTAATTTTCAACATGAATGGCACTAATTTAGCCCCTGTTCATCTTCTGGGCATTTTCTGAAGTAGCTCGGAACCTGCTGTGTCTGCTTATCAGCCTTATTTCAGCATTCTTAGCCCAGATTCAGCGTCCAGGGCTTTTTTTAAGAACGACCAGGGTTATTTCATTACATGATGTGATCATTTCATGTAGATAAAATATTCATTCACTGTAAATTGGCATTATTGACGAGTAGGTTAGAATTAGTTGAGAATTGTTGTAAGGTTGCACCTTAAGGCGTTTCTACGGTATTAGAAATTAATCCTATTAGTCACTATTATTCAGGATTTGCTATAAAACAGTCATCTTCAGCTTATAAGACAGTAAATAAGGCACAGATCGCTTTAATTTCTAACTCACTTCCAAGCTGCTTTCATCACAAAAAATCAACCAATGTCTGTGTTGAACTGTCGCTCAGACATGTAGATTCTTGATTGTGCTGATAAAACGAATAAGATGGGGTAAGTGGCAGTACAAGGAGGTATAACCTCAACCAATATCAACCAGTCCGATTCAATCAATCCAGTGGAATCCTCGATCATTTAAGCTAGCTGTTATTGATAAATCTGGTGGATCTGTTTACCTTCAACAATTATTGTTTGGCAAAAATCATGACTATGGAAAGACAACTTCTGATATACTGACGTTGAGTTTACAATCTGAAAATTGTACAGCCACGTGTATCGGTTTCCCTAGAAGTTCAGGCAGATATCTAGCTGTTGGCATTAATACTGGTTTGATAAATGTTTATAATTGTGCAAATAACACTACGATGTCAATTACGCTATACTAATCTACATCCATTTAATATATTACCTAATGAATTACAACCCAAGTGTATTAGTTGGGTGTTAAATGATCGTATTATTGCTGCTGGATATAATAATGGCTCTATTGTATTATTCTTAGCAGCTTCGGATAAAACTAGTACTAATGGTCGATGTGAAAACATCGTATTACCTTTCCCTTGTCAATATTCACAGGTCAAAGGTTGTGTTACTTCCCTACCTAAATGTTGTATGTTATAAACTTCTAAATTTAATGGCCATCTCATATGCTGTGGTTAATCTAATGGTTCTATAATCTTATGGAATATACAATAGCCAGTTACTGGTGATACAAACAATTACATTTTAAATTATTGGGATGTTAAATCTTTAGCTACAAGTATGAACGAAATCAGTTTAATAACAATAATAATATTAACAGCTTTATTCCAAACGGTATTTGTGGTACAGGTATGGAATTTTCAGCATGCATTACAATATATTGCATCTAATTACCTCATAAATTTTATAAGACTTTTACAATCAAAAAAGTAAATAAATAAAGGGAAAAAACCAATGCCAAAAGAACAAAGATAAGTAAAAATTATGAAAAATACAGCTTAGAGTTTACATTTCAAACAATGCACCACAGGATATGAAATATAAAGTTGATGATTCAAAGTTATTCAAAGATTATTATGAAGGTTGTATACGCATTGCATTTTCATCGAATGATGATCAATTATTGTATAGTGCAGGATTACCAGATTTAAATTTGCGTGTATCGTATATATTACAACAAAAACCTGTCACATGTTTATCACCAGTGGATGAACAACACGAGAACAGGCGGCATTACTGACCATCTTGTTAGTGATTTAGACTGTTCTGTTTTTCCCGTTGTTTTTGTTGTATTGTATTAGTTAATTCGCTTAAAGGTTGACGAATTTGGCTATTACTACATGTTAGGTGAGTACTATTCATTGATGTACTGTAAGAATTTTTATTGGTTATTTGAGAAGTTGATAAATTGCATAATGTATTATTATTATTATTAATAAAGCCTACGTCATTTAGATCAGCTCGTAAAGTGGATGAGAATGAAAGTAGACGAATAGAATGATTACCTGATCCAATAGAGATACAATGAATTGGTGTAGACATATTCTGTACATTATATAACCATACTTCACCATTTACTAAACCAGTTGCAAGAATATGCGTTCTTGAAGCGACATCAATACTTAGATAACCGTGTTGTTCATCCACTGGTGATAAACATGTGACAGGTTTTTTGTTGTTGTTGTTGTTTCTGTTGACCTGATGTCGACAGTATATACCACACAGGCAAATTTAAATCTGGTAATCCTGCACTATACAATAATTGATCATCATTCGATGAAAATGCAATGCGTATACAACCTTCATAATAATCTTTGAATAACTTTGAATCATCAACTTTATATTTCATATCCTGTGGTGCATTGTTTGAAATGTGAACTCTAAGCTGTATTTTTCATAATTTTTACTTATCTTTGTTCTTTTGGCATTGGTTTTTTCCCTTTATTTATTTACTTTTTTGATTGTAAAAGTCTTATAAAATTTATGAGGTAATTAGATGCAATATATTGTAATGCATGCTGAAAATTCCATACCTGTACCACAAATACCGTTTGGAATAAAGCTGTTAATATTATTATTGTTATTAAACTGATTTCATTCATACTTGTAGCTAAAGATTTAACATCCCAATAATTTAAAATGTAATTGTTTGTATCACCAGTAACTGGCTATTGTATATTCCATAAGATTATAGAACCATTAGATTAACCACAGCATATGAGATGGCCATTAAATTTAGAAGTTTATAACATACAACATTTAGGTAGGGAAGTAACACAACCTTTGACCTGTGAATATTGACAAGGGAAAGGTAATACGATGTTTTCACATCGACCATTAGTACTAGTTTTATCCGAAGCTGCTAAGAATAATACAATAGAGCCATTATTATATCCAGCAGCAATAATACGATCATTTAACACCCAACTAATACACTTGGGTTGTAATTCATTAGGTAATATATTAAATGGATGTAGATTAGTATAGCGTAATTGACATCGTAGTGTTATTTGCTTATTTCCACAATTATAAACAATTATCAAACCAGTATTAATGCCAACAGCTAGATATCTGCCTGAACTTCTAGGGAAACCGATACACGTGGCTGTACAATTTTCAGATTGTAAACTCAACGTCAGTATATCAGAAGTTGTCTTTCCATAGTCATGATTTTTGCCAAACAATAATTGTTGAAGGTAAACAGATCCACCAGATTTATCAATAACAGCTAGCTTAAATGATCGAGGATTCCACTGGATTGATTGAATCGGACTGGTTGATATTGGTTGAGGTTATACCTCCTTGTACTGCCACTTACCCCATCTTATTCGTTTTATCAGCACAATCAAGAATCTACATGTCTGAGCGACAGTTTAACACAGACATTGGTTGATTTTTTGTGATGAAAGCAGCTTGGAAGTGAGTTAGAAATTAAAGCGATCTGTGCCTTATTTACTGTCTTATAAGCTGAAGATGACTGTTTTATAGCAAATCCTGAATAAAAGTGACTAATAGGATTAATTTCTAATACCGTAGAAACGCCTTAAGGTGCAACCTTAGAACATTTCTCAACTAATTCTAATTTTCAACATGAATGGCACTAATTTAGCCCCTGTTCATCTTCTGGGCATTTTCTGAAGTAGCTCGGAACCTGCTGTGTCTGCTTATCAGCCTTATTTCAGCATTCTTAGCCCAGATTCAGCGTCCAGGGCTTTTTTTAAGAACGACCAGGGTTATTTCATTACATGATGTGATCATTTCATGTAGATAAAATATTCATTCACTGTAAATTGGCATTATTGACGAGTAGGTTAGAATTAGTTGAGAATTGTTGTAAGGTTGCACCTTAAGGCGTTTCTACGGTATTAGAAATTAATCCTATTAGTCACTATTATTCAGGATTTGCTATAAAACAGTCATCTTCAGCTTATAAGACAGTAAATAAGGCACAGATCGCTTTAATTTCTAACTCACTTCCAAGCTGCTTTCATCACAAAAAATCAACCAATGTCTGTGTTAAACTGTCGCTCAGACATGTAGATTCTTGATTGTGCTGATAAAACGAATAAGATGGGGTAAGTGGCAGTACAAGGAGGTATAACCTCAACCAATATCAACCAGTCCGATTCAATCAATCCAGTGGAATCCTCGATCATTTAAGCTAGCTGTTATTGATAAATCTGGTGGATCTGTTTACCTTCAACAATTATTGTTTGGCAAAAATCATGACTATGGAAAGACAACTTCTGATATACTGACGTTGAGTTTACAATCTGAAAATTGTACAGCCACGTGTATCGGTTTCCCTAGAAGTTCAGGCAGATATCTAGCTGTTGGCATTAATACTGGTTTGATAAATGTTTATAATTGTGCAAATAACACTACGATGTCAATTACGCTATACTAATCTACATCCATTTAATATATTACCTAATGAATTACAACCCAAGTGTATTAGTTGGGTGTTAAATGATCGTATTATTGCTGCTGGATATAATAATGGCTCTATTGTATTATTCTTAGCAGCTTCGGATAAAACTAGTACTAATGGTCGATGTGAAAACATCGTATTACCTTTCCCTTGTCAATATTCACAGGTCAAAGGTTGTGTTACTTCCCTACCTAAATGTTGTATGTTATAAACTTCTAAATTTAATGGCCATCTCATATGCTGTGGTTAATCTAATGGTTCTATAATCTTATGGAATATACAATAGCCAGTTACTGGTGATACAAACAATTACATTTTAAATTATTGGGATGTTAAATCTTTAGCTACAAGTATGAACGAAATCAGTTTAATAACAATAATAATATTAACAGCTTTATTCCAAACGGTATTTGTGGTACAGGTATGGAATTTTCAGCATGCATTACAATATATTGCATCTAATTACCTCATAAATTTTATAAGACTTTTACAATCAAAAAAGTAAATAAATAAAGGGAAAAAACCAATGCCAAAAGAACAAAGATAAGTAAAAATTATGAAAAATACAGCTTAGAGTTTACATTTCAAACAATGCACCACAGGATATGAAATATAAAGTTGATGATTCAAAGTTATTCAAAGATTATTATGAAAGTTGTATACGCATTGCATTTTCATCGAATGATGATCAATTATTGTATAGTGCAGGATTACCAGATTTAAATTTGCGTGTATCGTATATATTACAACAAAAACCTGTCACATGTTTATCACCAGTGGATGAACAACACGAGAACAGGCGGCATTACTGACCATCTTGTTAGTGATTTAGACTGTTCTGTTTTTCCCGTTGTTTTTGTTGTATTGTATTAGTTAATTCGCTTAAAGGTTGACGAATTTGGCTATTACTACATGTTAGGTGAGTACTATTCATTGATGTACTGTAAGAATTTTTATTGGTTATTTGAGAAGTTGATAAATTGCATAATGTATTATTATTATTATTATTAATAAAGCCTACGTCATTTAGATCAGCTCGTAAAGTGGATGAGAATGAAAGTAGACGAATAGAATGATTACCTGATCCAATAGAGATACAATGAATTGGTGTAGACATATTCTGTACATTATATAACCATACTTCACCATTTACTAAACCAGTTGCAAGAATATGCGTTCTTGAAGCGACATCAATACTTAGATAACCGTGTTGTTCATCCACTGGTGATAAACATGTGACAGGTTTTTGTTGTTGTTGTTGTTTCTGTTGACCTGATGTCGACAGTATATACCACACAGGCAAATTTAAATCTGGTAATCCTGCACTATACAATAATTGATCATCATTCGATGAAAATGCAATGCGTATACAACCTTCATAATAATCTTTGAATAACTTTGAATCATCAACTTTATATTTCATATCCTGTGGTGCATTGTTTGAAATGTGAACTCTAAGCTGTATTTTTCATAATTTTTACTTATCTTTGTTCTTTTGGCATTGGTTTTTTCCCTTTATTTATTTACTTTTTTGATTGTAAAAGTCTTATAAAATTTATGAGGTAATTAGATGCAATATATTGTAATGCATGCTGAAAATTCCATACCTGTACCACAAATACCGTTTGGAATAAAGCTGTTAATATTATTATTGTTATTAAACTGATTTCATTCATACTTGTAGCTAAAGATTTAACATCCCAATAATTTAAAATGTAATTGTTTGTATCACCAGTAACTGGCTATTGTATATTCCATAAGATTATAGAACCATTAGATTAACCACAGCATATGAGATGGCCATTAAATTTAGAAGTTTATAACATACAACATTTAGGTAGGGAAGTAACACAACCTTTGACCTGTGAATATTGACAAGGGAAAGGTAATACGATGTTTTCACATCGACCATTAGTACTAGTTTTATCCGAAGCTGCTAAGAATAATACAATAGAGCCATTATTATATCCAGCAGCAATAATACGATCATTTAACACCCAACTAATACACTTGGGTTGTAATTCATTAGGTAATATATTAAATGGATGTAGATTAGTATAGCGTAATTGACATCGTAGTGTTATTTGCTTATTTCCACAATTATAAACAATTATCAAACCAGTATTAATGCCAACAGCTAGATATCTGCCTGAACTTCTAGGGAAACCGATACACGTGGCTGTACAATTTTCAGATTGTAAACTCAACGTCAGTATATCAGAAGTTGTCTTTCCATAGTCATGATTTTTGCCAAACAATAATTGTTGAAGGTAAACAGATCCACCAGATTTATCAATAACAGCTAGCTTAAATGATCGAGGATTCCACTGGATTGATTGAATCGGACTGGTTGATATTGGTTGAGGTTATACCTCCTTGTACTGCCACTTACCCCATCTTATTCGTTTTATCAGCACAATCAAGAATCTACATGTCTGAGCGACAGTTTAACACAGACATTGGTTGATTTTTTGTGATGAAAGCAGCTTGGAAGTGAGTTAGAAATTAAAGCGATCTGTGCCTTATTTACTGTCTTATAAGCTGAAGATGACTGTTTTATAGCAAATCCTGAATAAAAGTGACTAATAGGATTAATTTCTAATACCGTAGAAACGCCTTAAGGTGCAACCTTAGAACATTTCTCAACTAATTCTAATTTTCAACATGAATGGCACTAATTTAGCCCCTGTTCATCTTCTGGGCATTTTCTGAAGTAGCTCGGAACCTGCTGTGTCTGCTTATCAGCCTTATTTCAGCATTCTTAGCCCAGATTCAGCGTCCAGGGCTTTTTTTAAGAACGACCAGGGTTATTTCATTACATGATGTGATCATTTCATGTAGATAAAATATTCATTCACTGTAAATTGGCATTATTGACGAGTAGGTTAGAATTAGTTGAGAATTGTTGTAAGGTTGCACCTTAAGGCGTTTCTACGGTATTAGAAATTAATCCTATTAGTCACTATTATTCAGGATTTGCTATAAAACAGTCATCTTCAGCTTATAAGACAGTAAATAAGGCACAGATCGCTTTAATTTCTAACTCACTTCCAAGCTGCTTTCATCACAAAAAATCAACCAATGTCTGTGTTAAACTGTCGCTCAGACATGTAGATTCTTGATTGTGCTGATAAAACGAATAAGATGGGGTAAGTGGCAGTACAAGGAGGTATAACCTCAACCAATATCAACCAGTCCGATTCAATCAATCCAGTGGAATCCTCGATCATTTAAGCTAGCTGTTATTGATAAATCTGGTGGATCTGTTTACCTTCAACAATTATTGTTTGGCAAAAATCATGACTATGGAAAGACAACTTCTGATATACTGACGTTGAGTTTACAATCTGAAAATTGTACAGCCACGTGTATCGGTTTCCCTAGAAGTTCAGGCAGATATCTAGCTGTTGGCATTAATACTGGTTTGATAAATGTTTATAATTGTGCAAATAACACTACGATGTCAATTACGCTATACTAATCTACATCCATTTAATATATTACCTAATGAATTACAACCCAAGTGTATTAGTTGGGTGTTAAATGATCGTATTATTGCTGCTGGATATAATAATGGCTCTATTGTATTATTCTTAGCAGCTTCGGATAAAACTAGTACTAATGGTCGATGTGAAAACATCGTATTACCTTTCCCTTGTCAATATTCACAGGTCAAAGGTTGTGTTACTTCCCTACCTAAATGTTGTATGTTATAAACTTCTAAATTTAATGGCCATCTCATATGCTGTGGTTAATCTAATGGTTCTATAATCTTATGGAATATACAATAGCCAGTTACTGGTGATACAAACAATTACATTTTAAATTATTGGGATGTTAAATCTTTAGCTACAAGTATGAATGAAATCAGTTTAATAACAATAATAATATTAACAGCTTTATTCCAAACGGTATTTGTGGTACAGGTATGGAATTTTCAGCATGCATTACAATATATTGCATCTAATTACCTCATAAATTTTATAAGACTTTTACAATCAAAAAAGTAAATAAATAAAGGGAAAAAACCAATGCCAAAAGAACAAAGATAAGTAAAAATTATGAAAAATACAGCTTAGAGTTTACATTTCAAACAATGCACCACAGGATATGAAATATAAAGTTGATGATTCAAAGTTATTCAAAGATTATTATGAAAGTTGTATACGCATTGCATTTTCATCGAATGATGATCAATTATTGTATAGTGCAGGATTACCAGATTTAAATTTGCGTGTATCGTATATATTACAACAAAAACCTGTCACATGTTTATCACCAGTGGATGAACAACACGAGAACAGGCGGCATTACTGACCATCTTGTTAGTGATTTAGACTGTTCTGTTTTTCCCGTTGTTTTTGTTGTATTGTATTAGTTAATTCGCTTAAAGGTTGACGAATTTGGCTATTACTACATGTTAGGTGAGTACTATTCATTGATGTACTGTAAGAATTTTTATTGGTTATTTGAGAAGTTGATAAATTGCATAATGTATTATTATTATTATTATTAATAAAGCCTACGTCATTTAGATCAGCTCGTAAAGTGGATGAGAATGAAAGTAGACGAATAGAATGATTACCTGATCCAATAGAGATACAATGAATTGGTGTAGACATATTCTGTACATTATATAACCATACTTCACCATTTACTAAACCAGTTGCAAGAATATGCGTTCTTGAAGCGACATCAATACTTAGATAACCGTGTTGTTCATCCACTGGTGATAAACATGTGACAGGTTTTTGTTGTTGTTGTTGTTTCTGTTGACCTGATGTCGACAGTATATACCACACAGGCAAATTTAAATCTGGTAATCCTGCACTATACAATAATTGATCATCATTCGATGAAAATGCAATGCGTATACAACCTTCATAATAATCTTTGAATAACTTTGAATCATCAACTTTATATTTCATATCCTGTGGTGCATTGTTTGAAATGTGAACTCTAAGCTGTATTTTTCATAATTTTTACTTATCTTTGTTCTTTTGGCATTGGTTTTTTCCCTTTATTTATTTACTTTTTTGATTGTAAAAGTCTTATAAAATTTATGAGGTAATTAGATGCAATATATTGTAATGCATGCTGAAAATTCCATACCTGTACCACAAATACCGTTTGGAATAAAGCTGTTAATATTATTATTGTTATTAAACTGATTTCATTCATACTTGTAGCTAAAGATTTAACATCCCAATAATTTAAAATGTAATTGTTTGTATCACCAGTAACTGGCTATTGTATATTCCATAAGATTATAGAACCATTAGATTAACCACAGCATATGAGATGGCCATTAAATTTAGAAGTTTATAACATACAACATTTAGGTAGGGAAGTAACACAACCTTTGACCTGTGAATATTGACAAGGGAAAGGTAATACGATGTTTTCACATCGACCATTAGTACTAGTTTTATCCGAAGCTGCTAAGAATAATACAATAGAGCCATTATTATATCCAGCAGCAATAATACGATCATTTAACACCCAACTAATACACTTGGGTTGTAATTCATTAGGTAATATATTAAATGGATGTAGATTAGTATAGCGTAATTGACATCGTAGTGTTATTTGCTTATTTCCACAATTATAAACAATTATCAAACCAGTATTAATGCCAACAGCTAGATATCTGCCTGAACTTCTAGGGAAACCGATACACGTGGCTGTACAATTTTCAGATTGTAAACTCAACGTCAGTATATCAGAAGTTGTCTTTCCATAGTCATGATTTTTGCCAAACAATAATTGTTGAAGGTAAACAGATCCACCAGATTTATCAATAACAGCTAGCTTAAATGATCGAGGATTCCACTGGATTGATTGAATCGGACTGGTTGATATTGGTTGAGGTTATACCTCCTTGTACTGCCACTTACCCCATCTTATTCGTTTTATCAGCACAATCAAGAATCTACATGTCTGAGCGACAGTTTAACACAGACATTGGTTGATTTTTTGTGATGAAAGCAGCTTGGAAGTGAGTTAGAAATTAAAGCGATCTGTGCCTTATTTACTGTCTTATAAGCTGAAGATGACTGTTTTATAGCAAATCCTGAATAAAAGTGACTAATAGGATTAATTTCTAATACCGTAGAAACGCCTTAAGGTGCAACCTTAGAACATTTCTCAACTAATTCTAATTTTCAACATGAATGGCACTAATTTAGCCCCTGTTCATCTTCTGGGCATTTTCTGAAGTAGCTCGGAACCTGCTGTGTCTGCTTATCAGCCTTATTTCAGCATTCTTAGCCCAGATTCAGCGTCCAGGGCTTTTTTTAAGAACGACCAGGGTTATTTCATTACATGATGTGATCATTTCATGTAGATAAAATATTCATTCACTGTAAATTGGCATTATTGACGAGTAGGTTAGAATTAGTTGAGAATTGTTGTAAGGTTGCACCTTAAGGCGTTTCTACGGTATTAGAAATTAATCCTATTAGTCACTATTATTCAGGATTTGCTATAAAACAGTCATCTTCAGCTTATAAGACAGTAAATAAGGCACAGATCGCTTTAATTTCTAACTCACTTCCAAGCTGCTTTCATCACAAAAAATCAACCAATGTCTGTGTTAAACTGTCGCTCAGACATGTAGATTCTTGATTGTGCTGATAAAACGAATAAGATGGGGTAAGTGGCAGTACAAGGAGGTATAACCTCAACCAATATCAACCAGTCCGATTCAATCAATCCAGTGGAATCCTCGATCATTTAAGCTAGCTGTTATTGATAAATCTGGTGGATCTGTTTACCTTCAACAATTATTGTTTGGCAAAAATCATGACTATGGAAAGACAACTTCTGATATACTGGCACAGATCGCTTTAATTTCTAACTCACTTCCCGTTTCTTTTACAGAGATTTTATCAGTTTCATGGATTCATCATGGACTGAGCTTGGTTAGAGGACCACTGGAAAGTCTGAAAGTATTGAAAACTTTGAGACTCTTCATCAGTATGCACCCACCGGGGCTAGAACCTGGATACAAAGTGAGCTCGTAGACCATTAAGCCACTGGAATCTGATCCAGTGGCCAGCCCGTATATTCCAACTTTTGCGGTTCCTTTTGTTTATATCTAATATTTTAAGAGTCTTATTTAAGTGTGTCAAATAAAACTAGATGCACAACATCATGATATTTTTGTTCTTTTTCATTTGATTGTAGTATTCTTCCAGACGTCGTTTTGAAACCACGATTCGTCCGGTCAGGCACTCGCTTAAGAGCCAGCGGATATCCTGGAGAAAATTGCAGTTTAACATGTGAAGCGTATGGTGGCCTTCCAAATGAAATGGGATTACGTGTCAGACTTCTGAAAGGTCCCGGTGTTACTAAACTCATTTCTTATATGTCTAATTCTATGTATACGGAAAATAAGAATCCCGCAATCAAAACATACGATGGTTTCACTGAATATGAAGCAGGATACTCTTCTATTAATGATAGAAATCGTAACCGGCCTACACTGCTCTCCGAAAACAGTGGTTTGCTTGATTCATCTTCATCCGACGCACAATACATGAGTTCTGTGAGTGGAAAAAGTAAAACTGAAGGATCTAATAGTAATAGTTATATAGAAATTGTGAAACCAGGTGACAATCCTCGATACCATTTGACTGTTGAACCAGATCCACGGAACTCGTATGCAACTATTTTACGTTTAGATATTACAGGTAAATATTTTTAGTTTGTATAGTCTTTTTCATGCATGATTTATGGGCCATGAATATATATTTTCGTTAAATTCACTGGTATTCTGTTGTTTTATAAACACAGACTTTTTCTCCTGAATAAATGTCTGCATTTTCTAATCTAAGTTAATATTTATTTTTTGCTGCTTTATGAGTTCCTTACTTTTCATAATAATTTTTAGAAAAATATATGTGCTTCACATGTTATTAAATTTAATTTGACTGCACGTTCAACACATTCATAATTTCCAAGAGTTGATTTGTAAAGATTTGATTTGTTTTACGAATTAGACCACGGGTTGATATCAGTTACAGAACCATTAAAAACCAGCCATGGAGCACTGGACAGTGTTTCGTCCTAGTCTGGTAATCATCAGCAGTACGCACTGGGGTTCGAACCCAGGGCCTTCCGGTTACAAAGCAACCTCACACACCTTTAAGCCACTGAGACCCGATTCAATGGTCCATGAATCCTAACTTCTACCATTTCAGGATTTTAGTGCAACCACCAACCAGGATGAAACAGCTGTCCAGTACTCCCTGGATGGTTTTCAATGGTTCTCTAACTGATATTGATCCGTGGTCAAATATTTGTAATTACTTTCATCTGACTTTCTGTCTTGAAAGTTGTGTTCAGTTCGTTAACTTCGCTTACAATTTAATTTTACCTTTCTTCATGTTCTCCCATGAAGCTTGACCGCTTATATTGAAATGCGTAAAATGTTATTCTCTTCTACCTAGCATAAATAGATACATGCATTTAGGTTTTGGTCCCTTTAGTATCCTTAATTATATCAGAAAATTTCTTAATAATCATCAAACAGATTTCCAGCCTGTTCGAATTCAATTTGTGGCTATAACAGTGTTAGTAATTTGTATTCAGGTTATACGACTATTCGAAGAAAAGTAAAATTGCAGTATTATGTGAATAACAGTTTGATTAACAAGAAATTGTTGCAATATAGGAGTTTTAGTTTACTAATAATATTCAACAAACCATTAGGCTTAAATATCTTTCAACGACAACACCGTCTTAAGTGTTCATACCTTCTCGTCTGTGATCCCTTCTCCCATACAGTATATTTTCAAAAACTTGTTCTTAACTTAGTCTCAGACAATACTGAATATTAATGGGTAAATTTTTTTAACAACATTCTTTTATCAGCTGTCAAGTTGAATTACTTCACACACTTTTAAACATCTAAGGATAAACTTTTACAGACACATATTGAAGGGAAGGGTAAGTTCAATTGGTGTAATCACTATGTCTAGCTTTCACAATTTCATAAACTTTATCAGTAACAACTAAATTTTGCTGACATTTAAATCATGTGACAAGATATGTGTACTTTAATTTTGTTTAATTTTGGCATTATTTAGATCTGTCACCAGAAGATAACTCGTTTTACTTGTGTGAAGCACTTTCTGGACCTCATTGGCGAGCATTCACTCCAACTTCAGCTGAACCTCCTGGAAGAGTGACTGTTTGGTTTGCACCACCAGCAGCCGAACCTAGACGTGTTACAGAAATATCAGACACCATCGATACAGATGATAATTCCATTCAGAGTGAAACAACCACACAGCAGGGAAAAGATGTTGTTTATGGTTTATCACATTTACCTTCTAAAATAGCCTGCCAGGCACTGGGACAGCCACCACCTCAATGGAAATGGGTAGGTCCACAAAGCGGACCAAATGTACCACTAGGTGAACCAAATAATTCAAGAGGGTAAGTTGTTGTATTGTCAGTTCTGGATAACCGACTGATATATCTGTGTAGAATTCCACACAAAAGTCAATCAGCCTAGTATATTTTATAGGATCACAGAAAAAAAGAAGACAAATATAATATTACCACTGCTAAATACGGGTAGGAAATGAAAGTAAAGATTTTAATGAAGATAAGTGAAAATTATAAAAAGTAAATACAGTCGCTTCGTACATACTTTGTTGTTAGACTTCACATTTACTCCTATTTGCTTCTCCAACTAGTCTAGTCTTCTTAATTGTACACTGAAGTCACCTGATCACATGACTATAGCTACAGCTTTACTTATAAGGCGAAATACATATCTTCTGAATGAGATTAAACTAATAGGCTTCACTTTAACAATCAGTTTTCTTCCGTAGATCTTAATGTCATCCCCACAACAGAAACTTTCACTTTAGGCAGCTATCGAATTTCCTGACACATGTAACATGGACTATGCAGGTTCACCATAATAGTCTTGTGTACTGCTACAAGTTGAAGTGTGCATCTTTAACTCAAGATGTCAGCATTCTAGTTAATGAAATTTTTGACATGATAAGGTGTATCTTTAGTAGAGGTTGAGAATGGTGTTTCGTCTAATGAAAACGTTCGCAGCTACCGTATGCTGAAGATAAATGAACAGGACTGTGTGGAAGGTACTATGAACGCTGGGAAAAAGCAGTGAACTTTAAGGTTGGGTAAAGAATTAAGAACATAAGTAAATAATGAGTTCCGATGGAAGCATTTATTGTTTTACTTCTTAGCCTCCGAACACTCAGTGAAATCTGATATTTTTTAAATACCTGAAATAGAAAGGTAGTTCTTCTACTATCACTATAGAGCCCATTCAACATCCTCGCGAAGCTTGTTTAGTCAATTTCCTGCATACCAGAAACCTTGTCATTATCTGGAGACATTTGTTAACTAATTCATGATGTACAGTTTTGGAGCCAACGTTCTCTTACCGATCCATCAGAAACTGAGAAATTAACCCAACAAGTTTGTTTTTCTTCTCCCAATGAGAATGCCCTCCTGCTATCATAAGCCTTTCTACCAGCAGTACTATTTCTCTATAAAACTTCAACTGAAGTGCATGCAATTTACATTGTTATGGTACTTACTTTTCGTCTGCCCATCTGACTGACCATCCTGGTATTGGTAGAATATGTATGATTAATCTTTTCAACTAAGATGGTTTGTTATAGCATTATGATCTGCAAGAGAAACTACCAAGTAAATGTAAGGTCTCAGGTGGGCTTCCTTTTCATACAGTATAAATCACTAGGGATTGTTTCATTCTTACATAGCTTCAGTATCGGGCTAATCAACAGATAGATGCAGATAGGATATACTGATATTAATAAATTATTTCCACAGCATGTGGGTTGTTTTAGTAAACTAGAATTATAGGTGATAAACAATGGCTTATTAATTTACAGAAGTACGTCATTTAAAGTGTATTCATCTCTTTATTTTAACTAGCCACATAAAGTGAACTCAGTATAACTATTGTTTTAACTTCAGTTACGTTAAAACAGACTATCAAGATGGCGAGTATTCGGTCAGTGAATTAACTGTTCCAGCTGGTTATTGGAATGTCGGTGTGTTTGGCACATATACATGCACTGCATCTAATAGACTTGGTCATGCAACAGGACATGTTCGACTTCAATTGGCGAGCCATCCAGGCCGACCAACGCTGAGAGCGTGTAAAGTATGTTGAATTCTCGATATATTTTTAATATATGAAATATATTATTAACACGTCGAGGAAATTTTCTGTTTTTTTTCTTAGACAGTTATTGGACATGGAATATCATTGTGAGAAAATAACTGGACAGTTTTATTCGAAGCAGCGACTTGAAGAAAAATTCCCCATTTAGTGTTTAAGCTCCCATCAATTAGCCCTAAAGACTGAAAATAAACATTGACGAATTCTAATCCAGCTACTTTTGTACAGGCTCCGTTGGATAGACAAATCCAATCTAGTTTAAAATTTATAAAAATTATGACTTTAGTGTGTGTTGTTTGTTTGTTTTTGACTGCCATAAATTATGACGAATTCACTCCACAGCTTTAGTGAAAAATAATCACCTAAAAGTTGAAACACTGTCAAGCTGAGGGTGAATTTTTACGTACACATATATCTGTATTCACAGGAGACGCGTGTCTGGTACTGTCGTTTAACAATATGCTGATTTATGGGGAATTAGCAAGTACTAGAAACCAGGAGGATGGACTACTTGCTGTCTCTTCTGACAAAGAAAACAACTTATGAAATAAACCATCTAAAATTCTCCTTCAGTAGTTCGTTATATATATATATGACAGTATTATCAGATAACAGAATAATCCATTAGGCACCAGTCGACAATTTTAAAAAAGGAGACTGAATTTACAGCATTCATAAAATACTAACAAACATATACTTGTGACCAATCCATCTATATTTGTCTCATGTTGTTGAAAGTCAACTATCAAATAGCTATAGAATGTCTCTAGTATAATTATACTAACTTACTTGTATTTGATGGATAAAAATTTCTACAATGAATTGGACTCGTCTACTAATCCTCCTAAGTATATAGTATGCATCAATATGTATTCTAAATGTATGCTTTATCTTCAATATGTCTAATACACAGTATAACGTCCTCATAATTATTTCTCTGTACTTCGATTGTGGACAACAGTCAACACAATGACAAACTATTTATCTAACTTTTTGCAGTCGGTTACAAATTTCACATGAATCAGCTTCTTCATAGAAAGTAAAGTGACAACAAGAAAAATGAAACTAGAACCGGCAGAGTCGATGAGTCGAAATTTTTTTTATCTGCTCCAATACTTCGTCTAAAATGTTTTCCCAAACAATTACTTCTCACCACCACTTAGTATACTTCATTACAACCGAATACAAATCCTCTGGTCTGTGCAATGAAAGCGTGTGTTGTCTTATAATCACATGTGGATTAGTTAACATCCTGAGTACATCATCAAAATTTCTCTCCTGAAAACAATTTATATAAACATGGATATTTATAAGTTTACAGTAAATCAGTTAAGTGGAATATTCCACTTTCTGACAAAAAATACGTAAGTCTCATCATCTTCATTTTCGACTGTAGATTTTCGTTTCGAACATTCACCAACTTTTATGGCATTTTATGAGTTGCGTGATTACCTACAGTAAATTCCTTTAGTATAACAGTTATATGAGTTTTAGAATAATTCAAAAACCGAAATATTTCCTTTAAAACAAAACAGTGCTTATTTTGCAAATTATACTTCTTTATACTTATGCATATATATATATATATATATATATTAGTATTATTATTATTACTACTATATTTCTCAAAATATTCTGATTAGGTTGAGGCAACTTTAATTGAGCTGTGTGTTGAACCCCCAACTGAAACTGGAGGTCTACCACTAACTCACTATGAATTAAGGATTCAAACTCATCCACGTGGCGCTTTCCACGGACCTTTCGCCTATCTTCCTGGTCGCAGAGTGCTAAGGTTACCAAATCTCATCCCTGGTTATTACTACCGATTCGCATTATCTGCTGTCTCAAGCGCAGGTCGTGGGCCAAATGCATATTTACAGGTATTTAAACAAGATTAATCTTATTTTGTGATCACTATATATATATATATATATATATATATATATATATATATATATATATACAAATGAAGTCGTCATCATATAGTGACTTTCCCAGTTTCAATAACTCGGTTAAGATTAGGCAGTCGGAGTATACACGGAAACCATGTTGTGTTTTCTTGTGTTTCTAACTGTCTAGTTTGACAATTAACGGTAGCTTCTTGCACTGACTTCTCTAATACAGGTTATCTGACGTTAAGGATCAAACTGAAGGTATCATCACACTACTAGTGGATAAAATCTCTGGTGTATTTCTAACAGCTTCTTCTGAGACACATTCTAGCCTATGGTCTTTACTTGTTTTTGTGATGACTTAGAAGCTGAATTTGAGCGCATGTTCCATTCATGGAAAGTCTACCGCTAACTCATTCAGACAAGACTTTGTTATTTTGACTCAAAGAGCAGCATAATTTCAAGTCCATACATCTGACTATAGGATTATAATTCGGGTAACTATTAAGCTCCAAGAATCAACTAAAATCCATCAGCCAAGCATGTGGTACAGTCTATAAAATATTTAGTATCACAGTACCAAGCGCTGCGGTGCACACTTTTTGTTGTAATATTAAGTACTAGAATTTTGAGAACCTGCCTGCCTTAATCTTAGCTTCTGATATCAAAACCACTAGTGTTAATATCTTTAAGGTGTATCGAACTTTTTGGTACGTATTCATTGCATATTTTTGTAACCACTAATTGATATTTTCTTAAACAGGTTACAACTAACCAGTTATCTAAACCGGTTATAAAATTACTCGCTTCTCAGAATTATATAAGTCCAACAGGATACAATGTTCACTGGAATGCAGAGACTACAAACGGCATGGACATAAATCAATATAATATAAATATAAGACCAGTTGAAGTTGATTATTCTATGGGTAAGTTTGCAACACGTTTTTTTTCAAAAAATTCTCCTTCTTTTAAGTACTAGAAAGTGAAACAAATTTGTTATAGTCACATCTCTGATGGTCTCTTAGGTCCTTTCATTTATCTTCTTCTTATCTGATTTTTTTTTAATATTCTATTGGATTATTAATGGGGTAATGTGGCCGAGATAGCAAATATTATAGATCATCGTAATTCTTCCTCCAAATTCTAAATTGAAATAATAAATAAGCAAAGAATATCCTTTTAGATAATTTCCTCTTCTGATTCTACAATTATATATATATGCATACATAGAACATTCTAGAATAGTCGTCATTAATAGTATTGGTGTTTCTAAATAACATCGATTTGTTGAGACCACAATGGAATTACCACAATTCAAGGAAAATGCATAAGTTATAATAAGCATAAAAAGTAATAATAGTGCGTCGGTGGCATAGCGGTTAGGACGCTTGTCGACCATGCACATGGTCCAGGGTTCGACTCCCGGCCAACTCACTCCTTTACCTCGCTAAGCCAAAAATAATGCTGGTAAAGAGGAAAGGTTGGGAATGAGGCTAGCAACCCTATCCTGTAAAACAAACACTGCTACAGAAACTTCAAGCCACTAGCTTGAAGCCCTATGTTCCACTGGGGAACGTGAAGGAAAAAAAATAGAATATCAGATAAAATTAAGGAAATTTCCACAACAAATTGAGGATCATTAGAACCTTGATAGCCAAGGTAAGGACAGTGTCTGAACCAGCTTCTTTTAGATGCATACGTTAGATTTCTTAATGTAGATCCCAACAGCCACAGCAATATATAGTAGACGAACTCTTAAGGTAACGTTAAGATTAGTCGGTATGCTGTAGATGACTATTAAAGCATCTTCAACACCAACCTTGTGTTCTGTATGCACAAGATGAGACAGAATAGCGCTATGAATAGACTTTTTTTGTCCATTACTTAACCACTTTTCAGGATGGTGTTCGGAAATCCGACGATGAGTACGCCTAATTGTACGACCTATATAACTGACTGCACAGCAGCAGTCATTCCTTCCATACAATAAGCCACATAAAACATTGAAAAGTCCATTTAATCATACGATATCATGATAAGACACCAAACTAAGATGCTTAAACTATTTTTAGATAGAAAAGTGTGTCTTCGAATTAAAAAGTTGTCTGGTGTATGCTAATTCTGTAACTAGGAAATAATATATATGGATATCATTTACATTTTGGAATCTATGGAAACATTATGTTACTAAAAATCTAAAATTCAAAGGAAAGATTCCCGACTACCCTATGAAGTGTTCTTATTTGGGAACAGATAGGTAATATTTCCGCTGAAATTTTAGGAAGTACCTATGTTTTGAAAGGGAATGTTTCTATACCAGTCTAATCTCTACTTTAAATTTCTGCTAGTTTTATTTATAGAGTTAAATAACTTTTCATTTCAGATATTTAAGCTGCATTTTATTTTATTGGAAGTGATGTAAGTAATCAATACTCAAACTTTCTTCGACCACTTAAAGTATAAAGTGAATACAACTTTTGAATAGATCCCCGTCTTCAAGGCCTGTTTAACTTTAATCGTTTTATTTGACTGTCCCGAAAACATCTCTGAAAGTATTTTGTGAAAAACTGTGCAATCTCGCAAATACTTAGTACATTTGTTTTGGTAATTGGATTAGAAATGACTGCTAATGACTGAAAAAGTTACACAGTTTATATTACTTTAAGTGTTTTGACAGATTTATAAGGATTCATTGATGAATCCTTATTACAATTATGTTTAATTCAAAGAAATTCATCTTTGCACTTACAAATCCAAATAACAAAAAAAAAGAAAAATAACTCGCCTTCCTGCCATCACCTTATTTCTGTTTTCTGCATTAGGAATTTCAAAATTATTTAAATAACATTTTTTAATCTGTTTTCCCGTAAATAGAAGAAAGAATTACTTCACCCTAATGAGGTGTTATGATATGAAGTCAGTACGTGTAATCAGTGTGAATTAATTTTTTCTTCTGCAGTGTAATCAAGTCAACAATTATTTTAACTAGCTTAGAAAGTAATAACCTCCAGACTAATTGTCAGTAATGAAAACTATAGATTTCAAGAACTTCTTTTCACTGTAAAACTTTAAGACTGTTTATCTTTCAGTTAGTGCGTTACACTTATGATGCACATCGTATCCACCATCAAAATATGAAGTTAGTGTAGTGTTTTATAAACAAAGTAACTATGTATGGAATCGTGTGAATTGAATAGAGGTCTTAATTTAGCATTCGTTTACATGCTATCAGAATGTCTTAAAGTTAAGCTTCCAAATTCTTAGTACGTTTTATGTAGGAAAGATGTCGATGGTAGTTTCACTGTGGACCAATTAGAAAATCAGGTGGAAAAATATGATTTGGTTAATTTTACTTAGAATGTCATTGGCACTAAGAAATAATAATGAGAACTGGATGCTTAAGAACTATTACAAACACGAAGTCATCCATTATATTTAGGAAAAGTACTAATAACGACTCTAATTTCAAAGACACAGGTTGTTTTCTCCCTACACTAAGATCACTTCTGTGTGACTAAGCTACTATCTAAACTAGTTTCTGTTATTATTTATGATTATTCCCTTGGGTTCCGAGTGGAACACAGGGCTGCAACAGAATATCTTCACCCCACGACTGCCCATAAACTTTCACCTCCTCCATGTCACTCTCGAACGCTCAATGAGTCGTTTCCCATTCGGATTCCACTCCAGTGCCTGGCGTGCAACATCACTCAATAATTTCCTCAGCATGCATCCTATCTACCTCTTTTTTCTTTGGAATATTTGTTGGACAGCATGTTCTTGATTAGTTCATTCCCAGAGTTTCTCGCTGCTCATGCTTTCTGGCCAGCCATCTGATCTTCAGGATGGATCGAATACGGCAGCTATCGATAAAAGTCTGCAGCCTGTTCTAAATGCTCTGGGTGACCTAACATTAGTGTTTCAAATACGAATCTTGTTCTTTGTTCTGAGTACATTAGATTTCCAAACTGATTTCATATCAATGAGGGTCTGCCTTATCTTCCCGATCCTGACTCGGATATCTTTATCCGTCCTACTTGTAGCTGAAATGGCGGTTGATAAATAAGTGGGAGAAACGACATTCAAATTTCTCCCGTTTTAGTTATTGTGGTGCTCGTTTTCGTTGGGGGTGGTTGGATATCTTCATCACCTCTGTCTTATCTGTGTTCACTTGAAGTCTTGTCTTCGCTGTTGCTTCTACCAAATTGTTGGTTTTCACCTGCTGATCTACGAGTTCATGTGACACTAGGCACAAATCATCTACGAATTCCAGGTCTTTTAGAGTCCTCCTACCTACCCAAAGTATTCTTATCTTCTTGCCTCCCCCACAGCCTGCGACACACACCAGTTCAGAGCAGTTAGGAATATCACCGGTGGTAATAAACAGCCTTATTACACTCCTGACTACATGCCAAAGACTTCTCTGAGATTTCTGTTGTGAATAACTTGACATCTAGGATCACCGTATAGATTTTGAGGTTGATAAATGTTTGGGTCAATCCAAAGTGTTGAAGTGATTTCCAAATTACTTCGCCGCCAATGCTGTTGAAGGCCTTTATCAAAGTCGATGAAGTTATGTTGAAGATTTGCTGCCATTCTAATCTCAACCTGGTTCGATGACGATACGTAGAGTTGCAATTTGATCCGCGCATGATCTGCTTTTCCTGAATCCAGCGTGTTTGAAATATAGAAAGTACGTTGAACTTCTCAACGGAAATTGCGTTTGATGACGAAAACCCTGTTTGGGAAAAAAAACTGCCTAATAAACTCTGGGTTTTCATTAATTGATTTACCCTATTACAAAACGCCCTGTGTCATTTTATTTTGATTGAAATTGCAAAGTTTATTTGAAATGTTTATTTAGGTGAGATATCTGGACGTCCTATTGGTTCTTGGACTCACTACAATAACATCGAGCCATATTGTGTAGTATCAGCAGCAGAAGGTCAAAAAATGTGCAATTTCCCAATTGATGATTTGAAACCGGATAGTGCATATGAGCTTGAACTATCTGGACAGAATTCAATGGGATTTTCTGAAACACAAAGAATCATATTTAGGACATCATCACTGACAGGTGTTAATGGACGCATACTAAATATGCCATCAACTATGCGACTAACAGGGATATCTAATCATATTCAATTAGAAAGTAATTTGATTATTTTTATTTCTGTCATGTTCTGCATTTCATTTCACTTTATAATGCATTTATATTACAATTATTGAAAAACGAATCCTAAATCTTATACATATAAAAGTTAACTTAGGAAAATTTTCCGATAATTAAAGTATTTTTATCAACTGTTCATTTCTTTTCAACATGAAATATTGGTTTTGATCTCATTTGAGACGAATTACGCCAAATTTTCAATTCAAAAACTCTCAACTTCACTTTCTCATCTTCTTTATCTTCTTGTGATACACATGAAAACATTCTTCATAGTAAAATCCCTTCAAAATATTTATATTTCTGCGTTGTTCAAATAACATCAAGATACTTTCAATATCCTATACCTTAATTTATTTTCCTCGCCTCATATTAGATCGATAAATTCATTAACAGTGATATCATATTTCTCATTTACCCTATGTGACATTTAACCTCAACTATGAAAACTATGCTATCTTGTCATTTGTCTATTGTACTTATCTACTTCCTTAATTTTAAGAAACTTATTCAGAAATATCATTATTCTTTTAGTGTTGTCGTCAGAGACATTGTGATAAAAAAACCTCATGTGAAATTACGTACATTCCTCATTTTTAACATGTTATTTATTCTCACTATATATACCACTTATTATTTCATGTAGTAGATGAATGTGACTGTTTTATGTTCCCCCAAAAGTTTTATTATCCTTAATATTACTATTATTTACTTTCGATTTTAGTCATATTAACAACGACTACTATCATGAATAAATTCACAGACTATTTACAGATTATGAGTTGATTTAGTTTCCAGAAGATACATATACATCAATAATAATAATTCTAAGTGTAGTAGTTGGAATAGTCAGGTGAGTTAGAGGGGAGAGAATGTAAAGAAGTAAAACGACGAATTTAGATGTCTACCCATGAATTGTTTATGGGATTTTAAGAGGATACGCCATTTGGACGCAGTCCTTGTATTGCTACCTGGTTGTCAAGCCTTCTTTTAAATTTGTCCACAGACAGTGCCGTAGCTACATCTTCCAGTAAGGAGTTCCAGGGAAGGCCAACACACAGTGAAAAGAAGTGGGAGTGGACCCGACTCTTTGCCCTCTGGTGAGCTGTCCTCCTGGGATTTCCACGAGGAAGCCCATACCTACTTAACTGCAGAATACCTTTCTTTGGGTGATTCCTGTAATTTGTTATCTTACGGGCGGTAATCTGGTACTCTCTAAGCCGACGGAAGTTAAGTCTGAATAAGCCTAATTTCCTTAGCCATTCATCATATGGTTTATTTCGCAAACCCACCACTCCTTTTGTCGCCCGTGTTTTTAGTCTTTCCAAGGGTTTGCGTCTCTTCTAGGCGGTGGGAGTGCGACGATATTGTGCACTTCAGGGTGTGATCCGACGTATTTTTCGAGCAACCTCAGAAAGAGCTTAGGACTGATTGCACCTAAACGTCTATGTTTAAAGTGTATGACAGCATATTCCCTCGCTACATCCTCTGTACGATTCAAGCTTGTGTCCATTTTTTCCGTTAAGACTAGACCTAACTCACACTCCGACATTATGCAGGACAACCTTTCGTTGCACAGGGTGTGACTGGCATTCTGTAGCCTACAGGTGGGCAGTTTCTCTAGTTTTCACTTTTCCAGATTGAAAGTCATGCCATTGGCCATAGAAAGACCAAATGGATTGGAATATTCATATCCCACCATGATACCCAATCGTCCCAAGCTGATAATAGGTTTGTTACAAAGGATCTGCCCTTCCTGAAACTATGTTGGTCTACATGGTGTCTATTAGTCCTATTGAGGTGCTCCCTAATGTGATCATCAATAATACTCTCCAGTACTTTTCATGCCGCTGGGAGTAGGGCTACTGGCTCATAACTACTGGCATTTCACCTTTCCCTACCTTTGAAAATAGGCGAGAATGGCTCTTTTCCACACCCCTGGCAGTTTCCCGAATCAGTCGAGTGTTGGAACAATCACCTAATAAACTATAGAGAGTTTCGAAGCACTGTTTCAGAACAGATAGCCTTATGTCGTCACAACCTGGGGACTTTTCAGATGTGAGTCTCTGTGGCTTCTTAGTAATATTGCTGGGTTTATTTGTGGATTAGCCACTAGATTTTCCTCCAGCGAAGTAGTAGCGCCGCCATTTTGGTCCGCACCAGTAATACCCACAGTGCTGTTTTACTGTTTATCGAGAGCTAAACTGAATATTTTGGCCACCCCATACTAGTGAGGTATTGACTATTTGGACCTGCCCCCTGGTTGGTTGGTTTTATCTCCAACATGACTTGGTACAAGCTTTTGGGGTTGGGTAGGAGTTTCTCCGCAATGTTAGTCTGAAATCACCTCCTGTCACTCCTGACTCTTACGTTGTACCATTTAATAAGTTCCAGGTATGCATTGTGGTCGGTCTGACTCTTGGATACCCGCCACGTAGACCAAGCCTTTCTCTCTGCTCGCAGAATACGTCGAGTACCTCTCTTCAGCCATGACGAACATTTTTCGGTTGTACTGTGACTAAAGAGACGGTATGCGAGGTTGTTGTGTGAATAATCTCTTTTATCACCCTCAAGTGTTCATCCACAGATAACCCATGTCATTCTATGGGCCACTCTGCGTCGGAGAAAAGCCTCCACATATCAGCAAAGTCCACCTTGTTATACCACGGACATGATGGGACATGGTAGTGTCCTACTGCAAGTGCTCACGGAGAACAAGATGGAACCCTATGACTGCATGATCACCACTTCCTAGTGGGATCATGATACGGACCTATCCGACGAGTGGTTGGTCACTAGCTAGAACACAATTTAGTTTCCATAACCTAGTGTCGTCTCCAACACTCTCAGTCAGTCCTGTATTTCTAATGGTTTGCAGTAGATTTCGACTGAATTTTTCCTGGGCTTACCCCGAGCCAAGGTTCAGGAATTGGGCATTGGAATCTCCAGCTGTGACGATTCAGTCACAGCCCAGGTCTCGTATCCCTGTGATGGTGCTGAGCTGTATCTGGTTGTGCTCCGCCCCACAGGTAGGTGATCGGTAGATGCCACCCAGCAAATGCCTGGTGTGGCCACGGTGAAATGACACCATATGGAGTCTGGGGGTTCATTAAGTGGTGCGTCCATTGCACGCACACATTTAAGTTGCTTACCAAAGTATATGGCAACTTCCCCTTCCTATTTATCCGTGTCTGTCCTGACCAGAATCATAACACTTATGCTGATTTCACTGCCGGCGATAGTGAGGGTTAGCCAGGTTTCAGTGAAGATGATTATTTCGAGGTGTGGGTGTGAGTGGAGATTTCTGAGTTCATCTACTCTCCCTTTCAGCCCTCTGGCATTGTTATAAAGGCGGCTGACAGTGAGTTTCACAACCTTAGTGTGTTGTGGAGTAGTTGACGTTACGTTGCCTGCTGGCAGGGAACTTCATATTGGGAGTAGTTAGCCGATTCTGATGGAATCGGTCCGTTGTCGTATTTTTTCCTTGAAATTGGGTAGGACACTTGGGTGACACTCTCAGTCCCGCATCGGTGTAGTGCCACTGAGGCTCGGAGACGTAGTAAGACCTCTGTTTGCTGACTATATATGGTTCGAGGTCTACTTCCGCAGCATCGCACGTATTCTCCCAATTTACCCTTGGTCTCGTACAACCGTTGAAGTACTATATCCAACTGTTTCTGATAGTTGAATTTAGTCACTGGAACCCATCCCAGTGGCCCATAAATTCCAACTTCTGCCAATTCACGAAGTAGCACGACCACTAGTCAATGTCATATTTTCACACCCGACGTGCTTCATAAATGTCCATTCATTTTCGCTTCCTCCCTGTCACGGCCGACAAGTAGTATCTCATTCGCGGACAGCACGGGGTCCGCACGCGTAATGTTACTCGGTTTCCTAAGCTTGTGTTCAACTTCTTTATGCATATTCGTTTGGTTAATTAGTCCTCAAGTGGTTTGCCACCTCCTATAATCCGCCGTTATTCGTCCTTCTCCGGCCATATCACCTTTAACGTTGATTGAAAAATATGCTGAAGAAAGTCTGTCGCGACGCATGGTCCTATTCTGTCTGCCATATAGGAGTTCTGTCACGATGATACAGCTGAACATTTATTTTTGTGGCAACTCCTGTAGGTCTGCACACTGATTTCAGAATAATTCGCGTGCGTACTTATGTTTTCCATTGGGGTAAGACACAGATCGCGCTTTGATGTTAGACAGACTGTGCTAGACACAGAGACTGTGAGTCACTTTGTTGTCTTAGAGGCTGACGTTATTAACGTTCATGAATTGTACGGAGTATAATAACACAAGAATTAATACCTATATCTATAGTGTCCGTTCCGTGTAGACCAAAGGCAAAGCAAAATAATAATTGATCGTCCAAATTACGAGATATATTTCGGGACTGAATCGGAGTGAGAGGTAATTGCTTAGCTGGCTAGTGATCGTGCATGGACATGACACGACGGAGTACCAAATGGGGAGGATGCTTGACCGGAAGCCTTCAGGTAAGTAAGTTGACTTAAACAGTGAGGATCAGCATCCAATGTTCACTGATGATTCCTATGGTCAATAATTTTGGGAATTATTTACCGCTACAGCTCACTTCCCTCCTAGTGGAGTTGTGAGGACCCTAAGACAGAACCAGTCGGAGTTATAAAACCCACCGGCTCTCCATCGTTAAAAATCTCTTCCGAGCGGCCTGATTGAGTGCCCACTGGTCGTCTACTTATGCCAATAATGTGTCTGTACATCGCCCCGTTGATGTTTTCCCGTTGGATCTCGTGCTTCGTTTGCTTCTTGTTCAGTGCCCGTCGCACCTGGATAAGAAAACGAGAATGCTAAGAACCTTGTTGAGGAAGGTGTACCAAATATAACGATTGAAAAATGATATGCATCTACCATAGAGTAAAATAATCCGAAAATTAGAACATCAAAAATACAGCATATATCTAATATTTTCAGTGCATGCAACATATACGGTTATAGAAAAGATTTTACCTGTGTTTCGGGATTCAGTGTAAAAACTGATGTGTCTGAGAGGAAAAAATGATGAATACCACAAACGAATAAGAGTTGGTTGAATCGAATCGCTTAGTTATGTGATATAAGTGTGAAGATATTCTAGGAATCTCACATTACGCCCAGAACGCGTTTTGTTTGAGGGCTCGACAGAAGGTTCGCCGTGCTAGTGAGTTTTTCGAGGAATAAGGGATATTCTAATACTCGTTTATTACCAAGGACGCTAAGCTCTAGGCTAATAAGATGACCTTTTAAGTAAACCGGTTTCATACGGTCGATGCTGACGGTGTCCTCGCGGCCTTTTTTTGCCTAAGAAAAAATTTATGCGGATGTTTAATGACTTCATATTGTCCGCCGTATGGGGGTTCCAGAGGGCGACGCACAGACTCATGATGAACAAAAACATGTGCAGATGCGTGCAACTGTTTCAGTAGTTACATCCTTGAGGAGTACTGACTCGTGCCATCATGTGAACCGGCCGATGCAGGTTAAAATATAGGTATATTCATGGGATTCTGGAAGGGGTCCAACCAAATCTATATGTAGGTGTTCAAAGCGAGCATCAGGGATAAGAAATGTGCCAAGAGAGCTGTCAATGTCCAGGTCTAACTACACTGGACTTGGAAGACTTTCAGGAACTATGCGTAATAACCAACGCAAAAAAAGAACGCAAATTGGTGACTCAAGAACCGTTTATTCTTGCACCAATATAGAGCCAACAATTAAGTTATTGTACACAAAGTCTAAGAATAAATGTTATAA